ATAAATATATATATATGTATATCAAGAGGCTATGTTCATAGTGTCTTGAAAATATATATTAGAAAGACTTTCAGTAAATGGATTGGTTGTATGACTTTCTTGTGGAGTGTCATAGCGAACCAGACTTTCTATTGATCCACTTTATTTCAACTTGTGCTCTGACTCTTCCTGCCAGTTATGGACTGTTTTGCTGTCTTTTAAAGTCATTAATCCCCCTTTTTGAGGACTTAGCAAGTCTTTCAGTTGTGAATTTGGTTTTACAGATTAATACCTAAAACCTCTCTTTGATGATTAGGCATTGAAGTCCAGAACCTTCTCATCAATACACCAGGTTTATTTTGCACCGGGATTTCCCCATGGCTATCCAACGAGATCTGAGTTTTTAAGGCAAATATATTAAATACAAATGCGTTTAACGTTTCCAGCCAACCTCAACGTTTCAGTCTGTGACTGTACTGTCCCTTGCAATGAGATCAGATACACAACAGAGGTGCATTATTCCAAGTTCCCGGATGCAGGTTCTGCGGCTGCGTTACAAGCTGACGGTATCACCTATCTACCGTTCGAATACTTAAGGTAATTGTACCTTTATACCGTTCGAATACTTAATATCACCTATCTACCATTCGAATACTTAAGGTAATTGTGACATTACATTAATAAACCAGTATACGGAGGCGAGCTTTGACAGCCATGAACTTGTCGCATTAGAAACTCTGGGAATAATTAATATGATTCATTTGTGAAAAGAATATTAAACGAATGTACCACACTATGTAAATTAAATAATCCCCCTGGATTAAATTCTATTGACAATCCATCTTTAATTATCTGCAAGTATTTGGTTAGATTTTCATTTACACTCCGTGATAAGCAGAGGGAGGCATTTTCAGTCGAAAGTACGTGTCTCGCTTAAGAGGCAGTGACCTCAGGCCCCCGGGGCGAGGGATACTCCCTCATATGGGCTATACAGGTATGTGCGGCCCCAAAGAGTAGGGTTTTCCAGCCGTTTTGATCATAAATAGGGTACCGATTTTGGCACGTTTGGACATAAATAGAGTATGGTTTTTGCACTCTAGTATATATATAGGTATGTTTTTAAGAAGAAGCCACTTTTGCATCATTATGGAAAAGAAAATCAACAAAAGCTCTTCACAAATTGTGTTTACGGAAATTTAGCATTGGTCTGAACTAGGCAACTAATTATAAGGCAGGTCTGAAACAGGGTTTTGATTAAGGGTCAGGTCATAAATAGGGTTTCGAAATTTTGTCAGGCCATAAATAGGGTAGGGAAAATCGCAGATTTTGGACATAAATAGGGTAAGGAAAATCGCAGATTTTGGACATAAATAGGGTAAGGGTTTTGGCAAGTGGGCCGCACACCACTACTCAATTTTTCTGGGAGGCCTCAGGCAACGTTCATTTGACCACGAAGCACTCTATCCGGCCTCTACTGACTAGAACATAGGCACCTGCACCATCAACGGCACAGATAGGAAACAACGTTTTATATGTACGATGTAATGTTCCCATGGTTTATTTTTCCAGGAAAAACTCTGTGTTTCTTCGGATTGGCTACAAAACACTTAGCTACGAGTTACTTGAACAGAATGTGGCGTTTGGTGTCGAGGCGCTGTTTGGTAATTTTTCTCATAATTTTCTTGCTTGTTTGTTCATATATCTGAAGTGGTAACTGTTGTAGCCATATTTGATTAGATTCCTGTCTGCGTCTATACCGCTTTACTTCAAATAAACTTCGTATGTATAATTTTTACACTGGTAGTGTCTGAGAAAAAGCAAAACAGAGAACCAGACCTTAGCATATTAAACCGTTTCAGGGTAGCTTTTATGTTTAATAGCCCAAAAGTAATATCAGATGATGCGAAATGGATCACACAGCTTTTCTTTTTTGCAAGTTTGTATAGAATATTATCAGGGTCAAAAATATAATGACCCTCCAAACCCGCAAGCAGCATTGTATCCGTTTTGTTTTCCATTAATTCCTTGCATTAATCGAGATTATTATCTGGCTTGTGTTTGCTCTGATTGGCTAATTCTAGGGCATTGTTCTACCTTACTACTGACCCACGGGCCGGTCACGGGTCTGCAAAAGCTAAGCAAAAAGCCATATAATAAACAATAAACAACTACACTACACTCTACACACTACAAAAACACGGCTACAGAAACGATTTCTCAATAATAAGAAACTAGAGACCGAAGCAGAGTCAATGTTATAGCAATCACAAACTTTCGACGCGGTCACAACATCTTTCTTAAATGAATATGCCGGGAATCTTTTTGTTACGCGAGCTTGGATGGACCAAGTTACGTGTCAAAACATCCTCGTACAGCCGGAAGTTGACTAATAGATTCCCGCCATATTAGCGTCGAAAGCTTGTGATCGCTAAGAACATTGACTTTTTTTCGGTATCTCGTTTCTTATTATGTCTACCACGTACAGAGCCGGGAAACAATATCTTAACTCGATTTCTCAATCTTAGATATATCAGGAGCGCTTTCCTTAAATTTTCACAATTTTCCCCTCTGAGGATGTTCACCCTGGGTACTGAACTGGGTCTTGATTTCTTTCTTGGTTCTTCAATGGCCGGTTCCAATTAAACCGATCTGATTAAATTGACTGTTCTCTCTGTGCAAGACAAATTTCTACAAAAGCGAGGATAATCATTATATTATTCGACTACTGTTCAACAATTTTCCAACTAATGATATATTTAGATTAACCTTTGTAAACATCGTAAGTTTCTTGATGTGTCGTCTGCCCAAGATTTGGCACAAGTCTTCACAGTTACTCTCGGTTACGCTTTTGAGTGCACTTACAAATAGGGCAGACTACAGAAATCACAGGATATCCATGGATGGTAGATGACAAGGACGTCCTGGCCATATATAGGCATTCGGTCAACTGGTCAAATAATACTAACTAATCAATTATTAGCCGAGAGCCAGTCAGGTCTTTACAATACGGGAAAATCTCACTGAAACCGAGGCCTTGCCGTGTTACCGGCAAGGCTGGGGTTTGAGAATTCCCCGTAAAGATCGAACCTTCCAGGACAATAAGTTGTTTATTATTTGGCTTTTTGCTCTGTCTTTGCGGGCCGTGAGTATCACGGAGAATAATGCCATAGAGTTAGCCAATCATAGAGCGCGTTCTATCGGCTACAAACGCAAGCCACACAATAATGTATTTTATTGTTATTTGTTACATTTTCTTCTTCTTCTTCTTCTTTTTTTTTTTTGTGGTTAGGTGAAATTGGAGGTAATATGGGTCTGTTTCTTGGATGCAGCCTAATGACCATTTTTGAGTTTGCCGATCTTCTTGTGGCCTTGGTTTTCGTTCGTTCATTGCATAAAGAATATCAGACTTAATAGACCTTAATATACCCTCAGATATCAGAGCGATTGATCAGGAAATATAGTGTTTTGTTCAACTCTTGGAAATGGAACATGCGACTGAGTCATTCCTGCCCGGTGAACCCTATCAAGACAGGCCAGGCTCCTGTAATTGTAAACTGTCAGCACCCGTTTAACTACTGAAATCACGACTTTTCTGAAAAGTAGCTCTGCATGTACGCATATAATGAGTCAAGATATTCACATTTAGCTGGAAAATCAAGGTCGTCACGTTTATTTATCAATTCATAACCACTTGATTTTGATGACACAACTGCGCCCTGGCTACAGCAGTGCGATACTTACTAGACTGGTCTAAATCTGCGAGAACCAATATACAAATGAACTGTTCGATTATGTTTGACCGTCCATAGCCTAGAACCATTTGTTATCGATTACTTAACATTATTTTCAAGCCGAACAGGTTCGGAGACGAATTTGACATGAAATTAGACAAATGACTTCCACAGAGATTTCAGCCAAAACCTGAAGGAGCAATATGTCATTCATTTTATCAAATCTTTTCATTACTGAAGGTGAAAGAAGGATGTAAAAGAATAGGCTTGTGATAAGATCGCTAGCTCCATGACTTTACATTTTTAAGTTAGACAGCCAAGTATAGCCATTGTAATAACGTCACGTACGCTTACTAGTACCAAATAAATTTGCTTTTGACACAAGTAAATAGTACTGTATAGAAAATGAAATGTGGTTCCCGTTGTTATTTGCAATGTATGCATTCATAGCAAAAACAAGTTTTAATTGGATTTTACAGAAAGCAGCAATATATATTTTAAAGAATATTTATTTAGTATGTGCATTAGAAGGTCCCTGCTAGGGGAAAACGAACAGAATCGATTCGAAAAATTGGCAGGCTTGAGAAGCGAGGGTTGTGTTCCTCCTGTCCTTATCTTTGTAAGATATCAGTGCTCATGACTGACTTGTTGCTAATTTTCAGCCACTGGCGACTGTACGGTGCTACGGTGGACAGACATCGCCACTTGGCATTCAAATATTAAGTGAAGACAAGAACCTCATTATTAATTGACGCCAGGCTTCTTCCTGTTGGCATTGTTGCAATTCGGAATAAGAAGTCCGGAATTAATTTTACTGGCACATGAAGACATTTGAGTACAGAGACGCGTTGCCAGATAAAGATTATGACTGAGGCAATGTCCATCAAAACATGATATACTGATGCAATGTTCTGAACGTCCATGGTTTAATTCTCTTCCTAGGTATTAAGTTTGTTTATGATTACTGAAAATAACAAAGAAGAAAAACAATGACTGAGGCAGGTGCCTCTTTTTACCTCTTACTAGCTAAGTCCCTGGAGCGGGGATTTCAGAAAACCGAGTATGACCGAGCGAGGGTCCACTGTTATATATGACATTTCAAATGCAAAAATTTATCATTGTAACTCATTAAAAAATCCTATCATTTCTTAAAAACTGACGCAAACAAGAAGATCTCACCTACGTCATGTCGTAACGGATGTTTCAGTAACGACGTCTGTCGAAAGATAAAAGATACGATAATATTTGTATGCATATCGCGTTATTTCTAAAACAAAACAAAACAAAACAAAAGAGGAATAAAGTAATATATTTTATCCAAGTACTCTTTTAAATTGCATTCAGCTTGCTTTGTTCCAGTCGCTGAGGTTTTTAATTTTTTAGTAGTTCGCCCTTTTTCTAAAAAAAAAAGATATTGTTTTTCCTGCCGAGGCTGAATATTCATATTTTTCTGCCGATTGTACGCTGAAAATATTCTTATGAACACTGTAAGATTATAGCAACATTTCTGTTTTCGAATGTATTTGGTGTCTGGATGATAGTAGAGTAATTTTGGAGCCAGCCTGCAGGAATTAACGTCTAGCAGAAATGTTATTAGCATCGAAACTACGGCTTGTGCTGTTTTTGTTACTTTTTAGCTAGTTTCCCGTTTGGAGGGAGGAAGAATTTTACACGGTATAAACTTTTCAAAATCTCAACCTCGGGTTTATTCTTAAAATATTCTTAAATTTTGGCACATTTCAGCCTCAAAATTCCTATCAAACGTATTCTTATAAAAAGGAAAGCGTGTACGAAACATCCGTCGCTTTTCTTGATTTATAATAATTAATATTACTTTCAGTATATAACGACATTAGCTCTGTTAATGCCACTCCTAGACCATAAAAAATCAGCTTAAAACCACTAAACAGTAGTTAATATATTATATATGTTATTTTAAAATGAAACTTTTTTTTTGGTATTTTATTCATCGTCACTGTATCAGTGAAAAACATATATATCTGATGGAGAATTTTTTGTCGACACGGCATCTTTGTAGTGTGGTTAAAACTCCTGACCCTTTGATGACTTTTAAATTTAGCTACCCTTATTAACGTTTAGGTAAAAAAAAAAAATTAAAGGAGGTAAAGTCTGCCTTTTGAAACATTTTTTTTCGTTCCTCTTTCCTAACGATGGGCATGAAATCTTTGTTGTCGTCGGCTATTCGCGGCCTTCCTTGTGAATAATCTGATTTACATTACATTACCACGACTTGAGCGATAATCTCGACAACGTCCCCCTTTACCATTTTTCCATACATATAAGACAAAGTTAAGCAACTGTCGTGCTAAAATTTAATTATTATAGTGTAAAAGCTTTTGGACATCGAACTGAGATAAAATCTACTTCGGCCTAACTATGGAGTTCACATACATTAGGAATAAAGTACATGTTGCTATATAAGCCGAATAACTCGGGAACCTTCGTTAGCTACAAGCAACTAATAGTATACTGTACCTGATTATTTCATTGAGTCCTATTATTTGATTGCCCCTCTTTACAACGAAATAGTTCATTGCTCGATATGGTCAGCAAAGCCATGACAGTCTCCATTGGTGGTTTGATCCTTTCCATCTCTTTTGGCGTTCTCGTGCTGATTGATTTAATCGGCAACACGCTAGTGATTCTAGTGGTAGTAAGCAACCGTTATATGCACACTCCAGTGAACTATCTCGTAAATTTAGCCCTGGCTGATGTTTTAATCGGCTTGGCAATTCTTCCACAGTACGTGCTGCGTTACGCATTTCACCACCCTGAAGGTATTGCCGGCGACTGGATGTGTAAGTTCATAACTGGTGGAAATTTTATTTGGGTTGGGGGAGCTGCGTCGCTATTCACGCTCATAGCCATCGCATTCGAACGGTACTTTGCTATTATCCACCCATACACAGCACTTGGGAAAATAACCGCAAGGAAACTGAAGATACTGGTCATGGCAAGTTGGGCTTTTGCAGCCTTAAAGGATGGAACACCTTTCTTCGTCATAAAATACGATTCAGTTATTGATTTTTGCATGGAAACATGGTCTGACATCACGTCCGCGCGTGCTTTTACAGCGGTCATTTTCGTGCTAGTGTTACAAGTAGAACGTGAGGGACTGGGCCCAGCCCCAGGTTACATATTATTATGGGATCGAAAATCCTACGCGTTGGCGAGAATTGAAAACGAAACGAGGATCGATGAGAAAACGTGTTGTCATTGTAGTTTTGTAGTAGTTCCTGTGCGAGATTGAGTAGAGTATAACATTTGGTGACCCCGACGTGACAAAGAAACCATCGAAATGTCTATAGAAGTCGTCGAAGAGATTCAGATAGAGGTGAGAACAGCAATTTGTCAGCTTAGCGAAGCGAGTCTTCGAGAAATCTGTGCGGGGCTACATA